GGAGGAGGAATCATTGCACAACGAGGAAACACACCAACTTGTCTACACAATAGACTCTACTAACTTAGCCCATAATGGGGCAAGGGGATCTGTCCTCTCCTCCTCCACCTCACCCTAAAATTGAAGATGAGGGGGAGCTCCTTTGGTTCTGCCCTTGATGAGGAAGTGGGTGGTCAATTGGAGGCAAGTGATAGAGAAAAGGGATGCATCATAGAGATTGGGTAGAGAAGGGGGAGGACGGTGCAATTAAGGAGGCGATGTTAAGGCGACTGGCAGCAAGCGTTCACGGGTCACGTCTCCCGTTGAGCTGTCATGACCTATTCGGACACTTCCTGGGTGCTCACAAGGCACCTTCCGCGCTGCTCACACTCAATCCAGGAGATCATGCCACGTTTCATCCATCCGGTGAGCCACCATGAGAACCTGAGGGAGCAGCCATGGCATTATGGTTGGGTTCCCGTCATCACTGGTACGTGGTAGGCCGGTATGCTTCAAATCCCGTGCGTGGGACAAGGAGAAAGAAGATGAAACTTTCCTCCCAGCGGTTGGATATGGGCAGGCCCTAAACGGGGCCTCCACAACCTTCATATTTGGATGCTAGGAGCTTGTTTCAAAAGTGAGATCCATAAATTATGGCCACCCATAGGCATATGCATGGCGACTCTGCTAGAGTGCCATTATGGGTCAAAATCACCATATTGACAGTTATTATAACGATTGAGCAAATATGGCGATTACGCTAGAATTGCTCTAATTGGATAAGAAAATGCACACGATTGTTCCACAACCGCAGCCAGTTTCCCACACATCTACACACAACCAGTGGCACACGACCGCATGTATCGACTTGCAAACCCTTAGAGGCAGGCAGGAGTCGATGAATGACAGGGGAGTCGGGAGCATTGCATCGTACCTTGCACAACTAATTTGAATCTAGATATCGTTCCCTTAACTATCATGAGCATAATCACTTTTGCAGCGAACCCAAATGAGAGCATTGCACTACTAGGGAAAACCCTAGTAGTAGCACCGGTTTTGAGGCTATCAGCAGCGCGGGCAGCCGCGCTACTACTACGGCGCTACAACTAGCTGTTAGTAGTAGCGCAATGTGCACCCGCGCTACTACGGTTTACTATATCAGCAACGCTTTTCTAGAACGCGCTACTATTAGTTAGCTGTAGCGGTTTCCTAGCCCCTCGCTACTGCTATATCTTTCATCATTTCCCCCCCGCTTCCTACCCTATTTTGGTTTCAATAAACTGCAATTTCCAGATATTAGGTACTACTAGATATCAATTTCATAAAGCATTATAGGTACTAGGTAGTACTCCCTCCGTTCCAAATTACTCGTCGTGGTTTTAACCACGACGAGTAATTTGGAACGGAGGGAGTACTAGATAACAATTTCATATATAGTCAACATGCATACTCAAGCAGTACTAGGTGATATCGACGACGATCATCATATGTAGTTCTAGATGATATCGACGACGATCATCATATGTAGTTCTAGATGATATCGACGACGATTATCATATGTAGTTCTAGATGATATAGCCACGCACACATATGTAGTTCTAGATGATATCGAAGACGATCATCATCCTCAAGCCTGGGCGGTGGGTGTTCCTGATAGTAATTAGGATGGCATGTCCAACATGAAGATTCTTGCCATCGAGGAATCTCTTCCACCCAACCGAGTTTAAGTGTGTGCGACCGTCTGTATCCATGCGGTAAGTACAGGTTATGACGGCGCCACTTGCGGTAAGGCGTAGTCCAGCTGAGCCTTCTTAATCAGGCTCGATACCATAACTCACAGATAGGCTCTTTGCCAATTTCTGAATAAGGAAAATATATCAATTAATAAATAGCCTCGCACATACTCTTACAAATAAGTATATATGGATTATCTACACTATTAATAGTTCCTTAGATTCTACACTAATAAGCATGTCATCGGACTCTAAACTAAAGCATATCATCGACTAGATTCCACACAACATATCATTGGACTCTACACTAAGCATATCATCGGATAATTTGCATTTGTATGTATAACATACCATATCATGTCGAACGACCATGGTACTTGTCAGGCGGGTCACGAAAACACCCCAACAAAGTCAGCACGTGGCAGAATTATGTCCCATAGGTTGCACACCTCCTCCTCGCTCAGCCTCATTCTTTGAGCTACGATGGCTTCATGAAGTGGGTCCTCATCATCCTCATCGAGTGGGTCCTCATTACCTTCATCATCTTCGTCATCTTCATCATCTTCCACCAGGTTGATATAAATGATAGCCATCTTGGGTCTTTCTGCTCTGAAGGAGAAGCTGATCAACTCACCACCAGTAAGACTCATGCGAACAAGGAAACGGGCCCATCCATCTCCTCCAATCTACGATATATTGCGTCCTTTCTCGACCTCCGTAGTGTACGCCCCCCCAGGAGCCTCAAATGTCACAGTGTCTCATGTCAGCTTGTTAAATTTCAATCTCACATTGCATGGACGATCTGTGTAAAAAAGCAAAATGACACAATGTAGTAATGCCAACACTAAAAATAAAATAGTTGTTACATTTCATATAATTTCTTACCGCCGCATGACGAAAACTCGGCTGGAAGTAGATGCCAAACAGCTTGCCAGTTGCAAAGCTGCTGGCGCACCTTGACTTGCACAGTCAACATGGTGGTGGTGGTGGTGGTGGCGCCATTTTCCTAAAGCAATATGAGCAAAGGATTAACGATCCACTTCACAGGAAAGAAAAACAGTAGCATGTGATTTTTTTGTTCTTCTTCAGTTATAGTTTTATAGCTTACTAACACCTTCTAAAATAGAACCAATAGCTAGCCGGCAAATGCCAAATCTTCCACGAGAAGCAATTTGATTCTTCTTCCGCGAGAAGCAATTTGATGGACAATTATAATCCTAAGATCTAGCTACGTGGTGCCAAATCTTCAGAGCTATGAAGTAGCGTACTAAATCAACTAAATCAAAATGTTCTATAAATCAACTAAATCAACTAGCCTATTAAATCAACTTGCCTACTAAATCAACTAAATTAAAATGTTCTATAAATCAACTAAATCAACTAGCCTACTAAATCAACTAAAACAAAATGTTCTAAATAACCTAGCCTACTAAATCAACTAAATCATATGAACTAAACCAAAATGTTGCATATGAACTAGCCTACTAAATCAAAATGTAGCAGGGAGGAGGGGTTGTGGATGGAGGAGGGAGGGAGAAGGAGGGGAGACTAGAGGATGAGGAGAGAGTAGGACGGAGGAGGAAGGGCGGATAGAGGAGGGGCCGGCCGGCGGCGAGTCGAGGGAGGACGGAGGAGGAGGGCGGTACCGAGTCTAGCGAGGAGGAGGAAGTGACGGCGGCACAGAGGGGGAGGGGTAGGCGACGGCGGTTGGCGGGGGAGACGGCGGCCGGCGGGGGAGGACCGGCGCAGGGCGGTTGAGGGGGAGATCGAGTGAGTGTGAGTGTGAGTGGATCGGATAGAGGGGAGCGTGGGTGGTGGGAGATAGCTAGTTTTAGCAGTAGCGCGCTATAGGTAAAGGTGCTACTGCTAAACTACCTAGCAGTAGCACACTTTGAATTAATGCGTTGCTGCTAGAACTAGCTTCGAGGCGGAGTC